CAGATCCTAGAGACTCCATGTTCTATGAAGTTCTTGGTGCAAGTGGGGCAGCAAAAGACCACTAGACTAGAGATCATCAATTCCAGTCCTGAGGTATCCATGGCCCAACCAGCACCACCGTGCGGGTACCTGACGAGGCAATTTGATGATGCCTTGCGCACGTCTGTGTGCATTGGAGAGCGCAGCTGACTGCAGAAAAAAACAACGGGCGCACATCTCGAACTTCCAAGAGCCAGGATTTCCATTGGGAGTGATAGAGTGCTAAATCCTTTTGAAGGTGTGTTTGCACTCCTCATCGAGTGAACTTGGTTGTGTTCACAGTGGTGATCATTCCATTTGGTTGCACCATGTTAAGATAGTGTGCATCATACGTTCGCTAAACCCAATGTCAGGCTGTATGTCCTGATAGCAAGGCTTTGGAGCCACAAAGCTCATTGATTGGACAGAAAGACCAAAAAACGCTCGGGATCAAACAAAAACAGTACATGCCCAAAAAAAGTTTTTCTCTGAGAGAGCAATAAAAAGACATACATGGGAAGACGTAGGTATACATGGGTTCTTCAAAAAGAATGGCGCCATCCCATCACATGTCCAAGTGGAGCAAGCAAACCCCGGTTCAAAAATAGATGCCAGGACCTTCCCAGTGACCTTTTTGGAGTCCCTAAGTGACCTTTTACACGCCTAAGTGACCTCAAACCAGGGGATCAAAAGGTCACTGGGAAGATGCAGGTGGCTGTTTTTTTTGAAGAACCCACTATGAACATGTAGGTCAAATGTTCGTAAATGGCCTCATAGCGTGGGCCGTTCGGATTGGAGTACGTCCCCACGCAGTGGCCACATTGACCGTTAATGAACAGGTTTAAAATGCCCTTAAACCTTAAAACTGCCACCCTAATGTATCGAATGTTTACAAATATTTCAGTCCCAGCGTCTTTGGCTGGCGCTTTTCATCCCTGCCCAGTTTCTATTTTCTTCCGAAGCATCAAGTGAGAGACCAGTTGGAAGTGTCGAACATGATGCTGGCAGAATCTTGCTTCATGAATCAATTCCGAGATTCATGTCAACTTGACATCAACCAGCTAAAGTAGCATCCCAAGTTAGCCATGTGTGTTCTGGATCGCGTGGCCAGGAAGTGGCCGTCATATCGGTCGCATCTGCGACGCGTTCGTCGCATGCGACGTCGCCAGGAATGTCTTCGAGGCGGAGGGCGCCTTGGAGGTGACCATCGAGGCCGCGGCCGCCTGCAGCGGCTTGGCGGACGACATCTCGACGGCGCCGCACCAGGAGATGTGCCTTGGCCGGTCGACCGTGGACGGTCAGCGAGGTACGTGGAGTCGACCCGGCAAGTAGCTTGGACAAAGGCAAAGTATAGCTGCAGCTTTATAAGGTCATGTCAAGTCATGTCCCATGTACTGGGTCAGTCGGGTCCAGATAGATACGACCTAGCGTTTTTGGGAGGGTGGAAGTGATTGTAAGTGATGTAGACTCTTGATTCACACACTCCCCAGACATGGATTGCAAAACCCCTATAAATTAGGGGTTGAAATATCATCAGTCTACGTTAGGGGGGAACTGGGAAGCCCAAGAAATCCAGAAGTCCTTGGCTTTGGGGTGGGTGAGCGTCGATCGTAACAAGATGGCGTCACCGCGAAGATGGCTTTCGGGGGGAAGCCGCCCATTCGATGTTGGCTTAACCCCTCCAAATCTCGGGGGGTCAATGGATACTGTTGTAAGTCAAGCTGCCGGGCTTAGGGTCTTTGACCCAAACGCTTAGCTCCCAGTTGCACCTCAAAACCTAGGGATTTGAGACCCTAAACCCTGCGGATGAGAGTCCATGAGCCTTGGACACATCAAAATCGCAATGAGGAAGAAGAGATGGATCGGTTGCTGACTGGTGCTTAGCAGGGAATGAGGGAATGGATCCAATAGGATCTCTATTGGGGGCTCATTCCCTTATTCCCTACTAAGCACCAGTCAGGTTGATTGTTAGGTTGGCCAAGTGGAAAGCCTGAGGAGGTGAAGCGTTCGCAGCTGAAGAGCTGACCTTTTAGGTTTCCCTGTTTCCCGATGGATCCACGCCACCCTGACAGGGGGATGTGTTCTTTTACGTAGGCGACTGGAGGCTCCGAAGACCTAAGGAGCTACTTGGATCCCTAGGGTTGAACTGCTCAAAGTTCTGGGAACTCGAAAGGCTGGGGGCACTGCTCAGAGCGAGGGGGCTGTTGACAGGCAAGGCATGGAGGGCGCAGGTGGATGGTCGAAAACGCAGGTGGAATCAAAAAAGGATCCATCCTCATGTGAGAAGCAACCCTAAAAAAGAGGCCCCAGCAATTGCAAGCTTTGGGGCTCGGCCTCAGAGATCTTCTAATCTCCTCCCAAATCACCTATAGCTATCGTTTGCTGGCGATCTTCCCATTCAATCTTTGCGTTCCCAGGTTGACTGGCTTCAAGTTCAACCGAATGAAGGATATCAACGAATGGGGAATCTTCCGTCGCCTTTGCCATGAACATGCCCTGATGATGAACAAGATGACCTCGGAGCTCAGCGAATATGGCGTGGAGCAGCAAAACCCAGTCCACTTTAGTAACGCCACCAGGCTGGAAAAGAACGACCCTGGTTTGGCCGATGGTGTGATGCTTATTTTCCATATGGATGAATCCATGTTTGCTCCGGTTCCTCAAGCAAATCAAGTATAAAGTGAGAGACCAGTTGGAAGTGTCGAACATGATGCTGGCAGAATCTTGCTTCATGAATCAATTCCGAGATTCATGTCAACTTGACATCAACCAGCAAACTAGCTTCCCAAGTTAGCCATGTGTGTTCTGGATCGCGTGGCCATCTCAAGAATTTGACGCTAAGGCAACGAACCAGATCCTTGAGCTGATTGAGAAAGCCCGCCAAGGCCATTTTTCCAATAATTCGATCATAGGTCCAAAGCTCTGAGTGGATCGCGCAGAAGAAAGTTCTACGTAGAACCTCTCAGACGGACCATCGCTCCATCTGAATCACCGTCGTTCTAAGCTGTATGGATTGTTTTGTGCCATTGCCGGCCAAAGCAAAAGGTGCTCCCTCAACTTGTTTCAAGGCCATCATGTTAATGTAGACTCTTGCGTAATTAAACCTCCCCAGACATGGATAACCTCCTCATATGGAGTGTTAATCAACAGTCTATTGTACATTATTTTGGAACATTGACGTGTTAATATATCAACATCACATAAAACAAATTATTTTTGTGTTAAAGCAATGTATGGTGAGTCATTAATCAGCAGCCTCCATTTGTTGGGAACGTGGACACATCAGTGTATCACATCAAAAGAAGTCTCTCGTCAAAACAATATTCATATGGGGGCTTTAAGGTTCATATGGGAGGTTCGTCAGTTCATATACAATTCATATTTGTTCCCCGGTTTCATTAACATGTGCGGGATTCACTAATCAAGATTCTACATTACACAGTCATTTGAGACTCTTGGGCCTTTCAACTCCAAGTCCTGGGCATATGAAATACCACTATGCACCGCCACAAATGTCCACCTATCATGACTTGGTTTGATTTGGACATATCGTGAATCAAAAGGACGTTGTCGTGGGACAAAGACGCTCTTTGTGGTTCGGATACTAGCCATGCGCTGTGTTTGCGAGTCCCAACGCTTCAAACAGGTCAGCTGTTATCCTCTTTTGGTGTGGGCATGGGACTCCATGTTTTTTTTTCCCAAATGCAACAGTGCAAGACTACAATCTCCGCGGCATGTAAAGGGTGCCATGTCAACCGCTCATGAGAAGCTGACAGGTACCAAGCTCGCGCTCTGTCAAGCATGTGCGATTTTGTCGCAACATGCGGGGCTGTTGTTTGACAGGTCATTTAGCAGCCCTTGAGGCTGACTGCAATCAGATTCAGAAGCATGAACTAGGGAGCCAACAAGCTCGAAAGAAGACAATATGCCTGAGACCATCCAGAGCCAGAGAAAAAGACAAACTAAAATGAAACAAGAAGAGAAACGCAGATCTGTCTTTGGCATGCTCCAAGATCCAGTTTAGGCTGCCAGGGACCACAAGTTGTTGACCATTTGGATGACCCAAAAACAGCGTGGTCAGATGACATCGACCTCTTTGTCATGGTCCGCTGGCTGTCCTGAACCTCGCGCAGGCACCACCCGGGGGCTCTCGTGTCCGAAAACAAGGGGAGAGCTCTCGTGTTCGTGTCCTGCGTGGCCTCCCACCACCCACGGACCTGCACACGCACGGTGTCCACCGCAGACGCACGCGGACGGTGCTGGGCCCGACCTGTGTGGTGGGAGAAAGATGAAAGACCTGTACGTCGACCTCCAAGGATGTTCAAAGCATCCGGAGATCGATGCAGAATTCGGAGGTGTTTTCCGTACAGCATGGAACATCATGGAACTCAGCAGCTTTCTAACTCAGCAGCTTTGTACAGAAAGAAGAAAGATCGAAGAAGGGGATGGGGGCAGGTGATCAAGAACATGACATTGAAAGGAATGAATGTTTCAATGTGAGAGAAAAGAAACCTAACTGGTTCTTCCGTTTGTGACCTAACTGTTTTTCTGGTTTGAGGAACATTTTCAGCTCACTTTCAGGAGACTGCCTATCAACGGTCAACACAAAGGATCGTGTCTGCCCACGACCTACCCAGATCCCCAACGGGGGGTTTTTGCCACGCAACGAACAACAAGGAGGCGAGTCGACGCGACGATGACGCGTCCCAGTGGTTTCTCAGAACACAATACTTGGAGAGTGCTCCTAAGTTATGTTATGTACAGTGTTATTTGGTTCCGCGCCAGAGCCTATAGTAAGGGAAATCTCTTCAAGCAGAAGTGCATTTCACTCAACTTCCTTCTTGCACGTTGGCAAGTCTTCACCTCCAGCTGATTCTCAGTCCAGCCGACATGATCCAAAGATCGCACCGATCGATCATCTGCTCAGACGTCTAGCCCACTGCTTGCTGCATCCGGCCAAGTCTCCCCATCCCACACCGCAGGGCTTGGAGGCATTACTCTTCTCCCCGGTGACGACGCGCTTGGACACTGGATGCGAGGATGCGGCGCTGGAGAGGAAGCTGCAGCGCTGGCGGTTGCCAGGTTGGGATGCGAGAAGTGAACAGGTTGGGTCGTATTGATTGTTCAGGATTTCTGGCCCACCCTGGATTAAATCGCCTGAATCCCCCAAAAGAAATCGGTTTGCTGAACTACAACACCAGGTCAAGGGAACTCTTTTCATGGTCGAACCGAAGGGTAGGATCAGGAACTCAGATGACTCAGATGGCCCTTTTTTGCTGTAATGTGGGCGACAGGTAGAAATAACATGTCTTATACCAGATTTGGGGGCCCTATCCCCGATCCTAAACCTTGCTAAACCACCTGGATCTTCCATGATCTTCCAATGCAGAATTTCTGCCGAACTTGGCTGGTTTCATGGATGAAAAGGGCAGACATTCTGCATGTCGTTGGCAGATCAGGACATGTCCCAAAACCCTGATGACATGCACCCGTTGGCATCTTGGAACCCGGATTGGCATCTTGACTGATCAGGCCACAGATACTGCGTGATCTGCATGTGAAGAGTGAGTAGATCTTCCAGTGTTTGAATTCTTTTAACTGAAAACCTCCACATTCCCCGTCCCCAAATTGCAGTCCTATGTGCTAAATTTCACAATTCAGGGGCGGTTCAGGTGAAAATGGAAAATTAACCTGTGATGGATGCCGCTCGTTGAAATAAAAACACAAACCCATTATTATGTACTACTGGAAAAAAAGAGAGAAAGACTCCAACAAATGTAAGGTCAAAGGTTTTGGAGAACCTCACTGGCCTAAAAAAAGGGGATATTGGCATGGTGCTGGAAGGTGGAGATTACACTAGCATGAGATCCAAAAGCACACATGCAGTAAATCCAGTCTTGTTGGCTGGGAAGAAGTAGCCGTTGGTTCAAATGGTGCAGCATGTTGCACAACACTGTGTGCACCAGCCAGGGTTCAACACACAAGACAGGCGGTGGAAGGAAGGATTTAAAAAAAAACAACACAAAGCACCGACACCAGTACAAGAGAGGTTGAACGTGCAACTTACATGAATAGATTCTTTGAAATGGTCACATCCGGCCTTGCATGGTGCCATGAAGATGTGCCTGCGGTTATCGCACACGCACGAGAGAAGGCTAACAAGGCTCACCAATTGCTTTTGGGAGCAGCCAGAGCTGTGCTGCAATTTGGAAGCATTCAAGAGGCAAGAAGAAACTCAAGGATATACATCTAGACAGGTGATTGTTTTGCGGGATTCAAATCACAGCAACACAGCATTTTACAAAAAAACATGACAATGACATGAACTTACTACACAGTTTCTTGTTTTGTTGAAAGGCTAGTGTGTTGAGACAAAGCAGTGTGCCTTGGTTCTTTGGCCTTTGGTGTTCCAATTTGCTCGCTGGAGGTGAATTCGTTTAGAGATGCTGCAATGGTGCTCGTTGAACTTTCGCACTGGCAACCAGAAAGGCCTACCTCTGATGCTTTACAACCTCAAAGCCGTGCAAAACACACTCCTGGTAGAGCTGCCTACAGTATGATGCAGCTGTACCACATGTTGTCCATGAGCCTTGTTTATGGTGATTGTTGCCAAAATGCTTAACATTGGCAGGGCCGGGCATATGAATGCCACCACCCCCAAAAGGTGACAGGGTCATAGGACATATATATATATATATATATATGCTCTGGATGTGGAAACCCTGCCCGCCGACAGCAAATCTGAGGAGCATCAATTTGAGGAACGCAAAGCGCTTCAAGCATACAATGTTCACTGCAATGCAGCTGGCTACCGGAAAGCTTGACATCGCAGAGATGGTGTGACACTCAGTGTTGCGCAAAGATAGAGGAAAGAGCCTGCAACAATGGTAGGGACAGGTTTGAGCAAGGGTATTGACAAATAGACAGTGACAGTGACAACCTAAAAAACAAACAACACGACACACTCCGAGACACACACACAATTTAACAATTTATCACACAATGTCACAATGTGAGAGTCTGTCATTGGGTTCATGGTTCCTGACCCAGGCGGAGTCAGTTGGAGGACCGAGCCCTGCGACGCTCTCAAGGGCCCGTTACAAACTTGATGTCCTTGGTATGTACTTACGCAGATGGCAGTGGTCCCAAACTGGGTTCAAGCCTTTCTTCATCACCCTTTGTGGGGCACTTGGTTGTGTTGCAGAAAAGCACGGCATGTCTGGTCACACACACAAAAGCCTAGATGTTTGTAGTATACCAAGTTTTGCCCAGGCTATGATGCGACGAAGCAAGGACGCGAGCTATTCATCGTTGAAGAATACAGAACAATGTGCCTTGCAAAAGTTCAGAGTCCAGAGTTCAGAGTCAGAGTTCAGAAGTTCAACTTTTCAACTTTGTATTCTATTCTGTAGAGTTTGGGTGTGGAGTGGTGGTCCCAGGGTTTTTTTCAACTTTATGTCTCAAAGTGTCCATCGAATCAAGCATGCAGAATGCAGGTCAGCAGATTTGATGGACAACTTCTCTGACCGGATCTTGGATGCTGCAAGTGGTGAATCTCGAGTTGGTCAACAAGATACAAGTGCCGGTTTTTGTACAGAATGCCGAGTGCTGCCCATTATTTCTATGGGTAAAGGATTCTTGTCTCCCAAAGCGTCGATTCAGTCTGACTGGTAGTGGTTGTGTCTCACTGCACCCCTCTACCATGAGAGGTTTGAAGGATTGGGGTTTGGGATGTGTTTGACAAAATACTGCAACACCAGACTCCCTCAGATCCTCAAACCACCAGACCGCAGGGCCATGGCTTTTTCCTCCTCTCAGTCTCAGTCTCAGCAGGTGTGAACACAGCTTCTTGCTGAGGCTGCACATCTACACCATACAAACTGGATGCTTTGCTGTGGACGATTGGTCTTGAAACTGGCGGATGCACGGGATCCGAGCGCCAAACCAATGTTGAAGCGTATTGTCAACAAGTCATTTGCAACCTCTCAGACCAAGGCCACTGAAATATAAAAAAATATATATGCTACATTACATTATGCTACTGTTTGGCACCAGTTTGGTCACAAGATCAGGCCACTAGGCATCACTAGGTTTAGCTGATTTGGCCTGGACTGTGCTCACATGTAATAGACCAATGGAATGTAACAACAAGCAATGTTACGGTTCCAGAAGTTCCCCAGTTGGTCAATACAATTAGGTCAACCCACCAGTTTGTCTGGGTTCGATGTCTAAACAGGTGCGGAAGTGTGGGTCTGCCGTGATTGCCCATCAGGCACCGAGCTCAAACTCCATGAAGCTCCAGTCGTGGACATCGAGCAACTGTGTCTAGATGTCCAAGCAGATCTTGCTGCTGGGCCTGCAAAGGAGAATCATGGAAGAAGGGCCACAGCTGCACAACCCAAGCTGCAGCATCACATGGGGAGACTTGCTTTGGAAAACGATGAAGACGGGGAAATGCTGAAGAGGCACTGGGTGGCTGGGTGACCACAGCCAGAAGTTACTCCAGAAGCTATGTTACTATGCTAGCTAGGCTAGTCCTTCACTATTGTGGTGGTTCTACATTCAACTCTCCAAACGTTATCATGTAGTAGAATGTAGAGTAGAGAAGAGAGTCAACAATTAATATCTATATATTTCAACTACTAATGGCACCTGACACGTTAACGACTATATGTCACAACAGTATAGCTACTAATAGACCAGGGACTCCAGTCCAGGGACTATTGATATAGTTATTATATACTATCATACTCATACCACCAACAAAAACTGTCTAATATAACTATAACTCATATTTAATATATCAAGTTTCTAGGCGATGTCATGGCCCTGAGAGTGTCCATTCCCGTCAATACTTTTGAAAACAGGCCTTGCGGATTTGATCTTCAACTTCTTCCCAATCCGGTACCTGAGCCAAAGACACTTGTGAAGGAGACCATCAAGGATGAACTCGAGAGTCGTATGGAGCGGCTGTTCATCAATTCGTTTAAAGTCTCAGGAATCAAACACATCGCCGACAATATCCTCCAGTCTGTTTTGGAGGGACTGCCCCAGAAGCTTGCTTGTAATTAGGGAGGAAACACTGGAACACACACTAGTTGCATATATGCATGTGTGTGTACATGTGAGTGTGTGCATGTGACTGGTCAAATGGTGGTGGGTGGTTTTTTTGACATAACACGACATTACAACATTTGTTATTTTTGGACTGTTAGTTTTACTCTCATTTCTGGATGTTTGCATTCACTGTCACTGACTTGTCAGTGAATCGGTTAGTCCATTGTCCATTAGGTGGAAAAACCTGCTGCCCATGCTCCAAGCTTTGGACACATTGCTCTCCTCGCTGACATGGAGGGAGAGGTTCATTGCATCCTGTGTAGGCAATCACCCCATGCGGGCATCCGTGGAACATTGGTCAGAAGATGATCTTGCTGGGTTGAGATGGCATGTCATCTCGTCTTTCTGCAACGCTGTTACTTGTGCTGACCAAATGCTTTTTAAAACAACAAGTGGTAAGTGGAACAGGCTGGATTGCCGAATGTGAACGTGTTTGAATCTTTAAAGAACCAAGCATGAATTCCATGTCATGTGCCTTGCTGCTTCTGTCAACAAAGGTTCTACCAATAGAAGATTTGCTTCGCGAGTGTTGGGATCCTGTGCGGTTCACAAAGTCAGTGGATTCCATTTCGACTGATGGGACAAAGAGGGCTGGTGACAAGGTCAAAACCTTCACGCCAGAAGAGTCTTCAAGAGTCACCTTGAAGTTGATTTCAGATCTCATGGCTTCAGACTATGCGTGGGCTTGCATAGCCCTCATCGCACACTTGTCGCAAGAATGTGAGGGTGTGGGTCTGTGGTGTGAAGGTTGTCCATGTCCTGAGCACCAGGTGTCAGCTCCAAGCAAAGTCCCAGGACAACGTCGGGCTGTAACAGTTCTTCCAACGGGCGCTGCCAATTGTCCTTTCAAAACATGTAGGGCTCCAGAGCTTGCTCGTGGGGTGGCCATACTTCGTCAAGAGGGATGTATGAATGTGAACCGTGCACTCTTCAATGAGTACATTGCAAAAGCACCTCACTCCTAC